AAATTTTTTGGGCTTCACAGGGTTCCTTTGAGTGCAGGCAACATTCTGTATTAGAATCATGTGAACTACACACTCCCAGGTAGGCAATTCACTTTTTTTCCTAGTTCAACAATAGGGCTTCCTAGGTCACCTTTCTACCAACAGCCAGCTGACTGATCAATGAATCAGCACCATGACTTCCATCCAATAAGTGGGGAGGTGATTTAAGGAGAAGACCCTTTTGTAAATAATACATAAATAAAAGTATTATTATTATTATTATTATTATTATTATTAATAATAATAATATAATAATCATAATAATATTAAATGCAAATTTTTTTGCAGGTAAAAAAATGTGCTTGTATACTTTATTTTTTTTTTTACATTGCAGCCTCAGTAGATTGCAGGTGGAATGGCAGCATCATGCAGGATCTCAATAAGCTGCCTTGTCTATACCTCTGATATGGGCAGGCAATTACTGAATGACAGGAACAATTAATGAACCTTTGCAGTTCATTAAGAACTACAAGCCGTCAGCTGCAATGACCAACCGAAATTGTGACAGCAGGAAGAAGATCCCCTGCTTGCTATCACAAAGTGGGGAGCACTGGTGGCAGGAGGTGGCTGCATAGGAGCATGTTACATCCTAAATATGAGTGTAACATGCTGCTAAAGGTGAGCTTAGCCTTTAACCACTTTGCCTTTCACACCCGTTCACCTTCTATGGACCAGGGCAATTTTTACATATCTGCTATGGACCTGTTTATTGGGCAGTAACTTTGTCATTACTAAAGATAACAAGGTATCACCTATATTGTTTTTTTAGGACAATCAAGGCCTTCTTTTCATGATATTTTCTTGCAACAATGATTTTTTTTCACAGCCCTTAGATTATAAAATGCAACAATACTTAACAAAAGCCACTTTTATGTGAGCAGTGTTAGTTTAAAAATAGTGTTACTGCACATAAAATGTGAATATTGTATTCTGTAATTTGTCCTGTTTAAAGTGGTTCTAAAGGCTCAAGGTTTTTTACCTTCATGCATTCTATACATGAAGGTAATAAACCTTCTGTGTGCAGCAGCCCCCAGTCCCCCCAGTTCTCACCTAAGCCCCCTCTCAGTCCAGTAATGTTACTAGAGTCTTTTCTATCCCAGGACTCCCTCTTCTCATTGGCTGAGACAGACACAGGAGCTATTGGCTCCCATTGCTGTCAATCACAGCCACTGAGCCAATGATAAGAGGGGGGTGGGGCCAAGCCATGGCTCTGTGTGTGAACGGACACACAGAGCAGTGGGTGCCCCCATTTCAAGTTGCTTGCTGTGGGGGCACCCGACAGAAGGGAGAGGCCAGGAGAGCCTGCAGGGGGACCTGAGAAGAGGAGGATCCAGGCTGTTCTGTGCAAAACCACTGCATACAGCAGGTAACTATAGACATGTTTGTTCATTTTTATTTTAAAAAATAAACCTTTAAAATCATTTTAACATGACACTAAAATTATGATTCTGGTATGAAGCATTGTACAGTTATTTACAAATAAAACGTTTTTTTTTTTCTTCCAATTTTGCACTTTTAAAATGGGAAATGTGTAAATATATGTTAAATGTATAAAATATTAACTAACAAGACAAAAAGAAGTTTGAATATTAATAGTTAAGGAAAAAGAAACAAACAAAAAATACAAAATAAAATAAAAGAGGATACTAAAGGAGTTAATTGGTGCTGATTAGAGTAAACTAAGGGTTTAATAAAGGGTTTAACAGGGGAACATTTCTACAACTTTTTTTTTTTTTTTTTTTACTTGTCAGGTTGCTTTAACTAACATCATCTGCAGATCTATGTTCATCCCTCTGATCTGAAGATGAAAGAACAGAATGTTGCAAAAGTAATAATATGTAACTTTGTATGGAGCAGTGTTGTTTATATACACTGCTAGATCGAATTTTAGACAGCTGGAGCTGCTGACTTCTTCTCTGAGTATACTGTAATGCCAGCTATGATTCATCACAGCCAACAGCTTCAGTATAAAGGGAGGGGAGGGGCTAGAAGCAAGGCAAAGAGACTGGAGGTGCTACACATGTCCTGTGTACAGTGGTGACTTATTTGGGGCATGTGCAGCATGCCGAACGTTTACAACTAGTTATAGAAACTGTACAGCAAAACCAGAAAATAGTATAGTGTAAGGTAGCAAACGTTTGTATATTGCAATATCCTTAACTGTAACCATTTCAACTACTGTACATAATTAGCTATTTTTCACTTTAATGACTCAAGAAGAGGGACACACTTACACCAGTGGTTAACAATTTATGAGCTAAAGGGGGCATAAAATGTGGCCACTGACATCAACAAAGGGCGACACATAATGTTCAATATGTAATGTAATGCTTTGGTGACTGTCAGAAACTGCATGCCTAACAGAGGAAATGAGGGTCAGACAGTGTAGACATGCTACATTTTTGGCTGGGAATATGCTGCACAAGACAATACCAAACTGGGAAAATATTATAAGCTATTAGAGATCAATGCTAATACCCTAATCAATGTTCCCATTGCTGAGGCCTGAGGGCTGCACATCATATACCAAATGTCCACAGCTTGGGTACTAGAGGTTTACATTGACTGTCAACTAGCTTGCCTCCAGCGTTGACCTTTCTTTTTTTAAATGTTATTAGGAAAACTTCATTATTTGTAAAATAAAAAAAATTATACAAAAAAAAAATTTTAAACATTGGTTTTTAAACGTAGAAATTTACAAATCGTGAATAAAACTGATCAAAGACTGTTAATCATTTAGGCAGTCAGCTATAACCACCCAAGTATAGGTATGCCACATAAATTATTTATTTATTACAGGTACCCAAATAGCGCTGTCAATTTACGCAGCGCTTTACATATATATTGTACATTCACAACAGTCCCTAACCCTCAAAGAGCATTCAATCTAAGTTCCAGAACTCACATTCATACACACCAGCAACTTGGCTGGGACTGCATGTCACAACAGACTTATTGTGACCATTTGTTATAGCAACATCCTGGCAATTGTTGGAATTTTGGTGCAGGAGCTCTGTCTTGTATGTTTGATGTAGCTCTGTCTTTTCTGTCATGACCCATTGCAATGCCTATTGTGTCAACAGTGGGTTTGATTTCTCATTCTTCATTCACACTGCATCAGTGGCGTATCATCCATGGGTGCAAGGTGTTCACTGCACACGAGCCCTGAGGGGGGGGGCACTGTGCTCTGACCCACACTGCACCCATGGATGAGCTGCACCTGTGGAGTAGTGAGTGCAGATGTGGGATTGGAATGGATACAATGTACAGTAGTGAGATCACAGCCTGGTGAGGAGGAGATCACAGCCAACCAGTGTCACGGGAAGGATCTACACACACAGTGATCTCCCCATGTGGATGGGCTGACAATAACTAACTCCCCCCCGATGCTGTCCAGTAGTGGCTGATCTCTGGCGCTGATCTCCCCCCCCCCCCCCCCCACATGGTCTGGTGGATCAAGGAACTACACACCTCTAACTTGGGCAGGCATGGAGGCAGAGGGGGAAATGGAGTGCACAGAGCAGTCCATGTTGTCCCGGACCTCGGCTTGCTAAGAGCAGTTCTACCTGCCGCTGATCGGTCTACAAGGGAGACTTTCACTGCAGCTTTCCTTTGGCCTATGTACCTTCCTGTCCCCCAGTGAATCCATTGGCATCTCCTCTGGCTCCTGTACCCGGCTGGACCCCCTGGACCAGGAGAGCGGGGTGCAGCCAGGCAAAAAAAGCTGAGCAGGTCTAGAGCATGAAGAGGCTGGACAGTGAGTGACTGCTTCTTCTGGGACTTATAATACTGACCCTCCACAGAGTCCACATCACTATGCTGGGGGAGGGGGGGCAGTGATTGATAATTGTTAAATGATCTGGGGGGCAGTGATTACTAATTAATAACTTTTATATGATCTGATGAGTTGCACTGATCAGTAATTGAGAGGGCCCATTCACACTAGGATCTGCATGACTATTGCACAGGAGCATGCTGTATGCTCCTGTGCAATTCACATGCAGCTCTTTGCAGTGCAATTTCAGCCTATTCAGTTTGAGTAGGCTGAAATCAAACAATACTGCACTAAAAGAAGTGAATGCACTACTTTTGGAAAGGCACTGTAATCAGATTGCATAGTACTTTTGTACCATGTGATACGATGCAGTCAACCCAGTGCGTTTGCGACCTACATTTGGGGTTCTGTTAACTTTGCACTTACACCTGCTACAGATCGCAAGGGCAGTGCAATTAACCTACCAGCATGTCTTTGTAATGTGGGAGGAAACCACAGTTTTATTTTTATTTAAATCTTTCTACAAGTTATTGAGCATGATAATGTGTCATGAGCTGTTTATATAACAATTTATAGCAGAGTTCCATGAGACCTGAAAATTGTATTAAGAGTTCCTTCAGGGTAGAAAAGTTAAGAGATCACAATGGTGGTGGGTTCCATAGGATTTGACCTGGAGACTCTTCCCTAAAATGTCAGAGCCAGCTATATAATTTGACAAAGGTTTGTAAATCACAAGACTGGCTTAACAGAAATGAAGATTTTTTTTTACAAGTTCATTTCATGTACAATATATGAACTGAATATTTAGCTGCTTGCATCTCTCTGTGCTTGAGGTCAATGCTCCATGACTGTTTCCATTCTAAGCGGGGTTCTCTTCCTATTATGGGTTAGATTTATTTTACTATAGAGAATTCAGCAGGAGGAGTAAGACTCACAGCAAGAAACTCAGGTAGGAAGATCTCAGCCCTGGAGTACCTAAAAACATGTAAGAAGTAATTTAATTCATCTGAGCCACTATTTATCAGATTTCACGTGGCTTGACCCTCTAAAGCTCTCTGTAGATAATATGAAATAATAAATGTAGGAATACAGTCTCTGTAGCTATATAGATGATTACAGTAATATTTTGGATTGCAAACAAAAATGAGTCTGCCATAGTTTCAGTATAATAAATGGTAATACTTACGCATTTCTGCAAACAACTGCCTTTTGTCGGCCATGTTATTCGCCCTTTTCCCACCGTCCTCAATCATTCTGTAAAGAAACAGCAGAGACAGCATAAGCAGATGAAGCAGAGAGCACTGAAGATATTTATTGCATGGGATTAATCTCATAAAAAGTCGTTCATTTTAAAGCGATATGTCACATTTACATAACAAAAGGTCGTAACAAAAGAGATTTCTAAATTTATTAGGCTATTAAGATTTGGAAGTGTGGTATATGTCAAAACACCACCACACTGTATATGTGTACGGCTGAGCAAATCAGTTAATTACTATAAACTGGACAATTATTTAAATGGTTCACAAAATTTATGGGCTTTACAATCTAAGAGAATCTTGGTTACAGCAGATTCACAATGATACCATGGTAACACACACACACACACGGTAATATAGAATGTGAAAAGTACTGTTAGAAACACAATTTGCACTCTTTCTTGTCCTGTCTAAAAAAAAAATTAAGAATACCTTGGGGGTAGGGGGAGGGCTACCTTTGATAACAGTATTTAAAACTCAGATATATAAAAAAAACTAAGATGCATATAAACTAAGATATATTTGAAATGGACCTCTGTGCAGGTAAACACAAATTCATGGAGGTATGTGAAAAACTATTAAAGCCCCACTTTGGGATAAACTTGCATTGCTTGAAATAGTTCCCCCATAAAGTGTACAAAAAAAAAAAAGAGAAGAAACTTTGGGTGCAATACATACCATAAAGCCAGACCTGCCCCCACCCATGCCCTGCCTAGGTACCTCAGTTTTCCCAGATTGAATGATGCCCTTGAATGTCCCCTACGCCATCCTTCATTCACAGTGTGCCAGTACCAGTGCAGAAAGCAGCACCGACGCCACTACCTCTGTGCTGCTCTCTGCATAAGGCACCTTTCACATGGGTGTGCCGTTTGTCTGTTTTTCATCCATCCGTTGATGGAAGAAAAATGGACATCAATGCATCTATATGGAAAAATGGATGTAAATGGATGATCATCTTTTTACATCCATTTACATCTGCATCCGTCAACATCTGTTTTTTTAAATGTTTGTTAAAAACATAGAATGGTTGAAAAACAAATGTAAATGGACAAATGGTCTGTTTTTGCATTGGTCGTGGATGTAAAAAACCGATGTAAAAACTGACCCGTTTTTTCTTTGAAAAAATTTAACTGAACTGAGGAAACAAATGGAATGTCCATGTGAGAGGACTCTTAATGAGGACTACCCAGAATAAAGAAGAGGAAGAGGACCAGCCTGAAGGCTCTTAAAAAGGTAAATGTTATACATAAAATACCAGTGGGGGCCACAAGGAGGAAGAGGGCACGATTGGGCTTTAATAGCATTTTTAAAGGCAACTTGTGAAAGTATTTGAATAGAACTTCTTAGCTTCTTGCAATCACCTGTACAGCAGAGCACAGACTGGAGGAGATAGAAACAGTACCAGCAGCCAATCAGTTGTGTTAAGTGCCAACAATGAACACCCTGACAGAAGTAGAGAGCAGAGAGATACGCTCGTCAGGATGCTGCTTTTTGTTTACTGTCCAGTCATAGGATGGGGGCAGGAACAATACCTAGTTGTATTTCTTACCTCCAGTAGAGAAAAGTAAGGTGTCAAGGCTGGCTGTGTTGTCTGTCTGGGTTGTGCAAATCTCAGGAATGAATAGACTAAATACAAATGCTTTGGCAGGTACTAAGCCCTCTTATATGTATTTCATCTGTGTATGTAGTGGTTTGCCTGGAGTTCACTTTCAAATAAAAGCTCTACTAAGTATTATTTGTGTTCAAAATGACTGCGTAGCATTACTGAACGAGAACTACAACACCAGTTTCTGGGAAATTCATTTTATGCTAAGCCTGTTTCTTTTTCAGGACTATGAGGAGTGATTTTAATTTTCTTTCTTCTGACAGTGCATCCTTCCAAGTAAAACCAACAGAAAACAAAAACAACTCAGTGCCAGCGATGCATTGGAGCCTTTCCTGGTTTATGGAAACTGCTTTCCATCAACATGATGTATTGGGACTATGTATTCGCTTTTCCTTCGAGGCAGGTAACCGAGTTACAAATAATAACTGCTTGTACTTTTCAATATGAACAGATACCCAATTTAAAATATTACATTTCTCTTTTAACCATATTTCATCTTTATTACTTCCAAATCCATACTAATCCATCTCAGATTACTCTGCATATAACGGAATCCACGTCTATTTTTACAAAGTCTTGTTTACTTTCAGGTGCAAAAAGTTGAAATTTCTCCACATCTCCCAAATTTCCAATATGAGAAAGGAATATACACATTCGAGAGACATAACATTTATTTGTAAGACCCAACAACCCTAGCCACATCTATTTCAGAAAACCCAAAGGGGCCTACTCATGCAAAGATGCCCATTAAAATGTTTTCACAGTTACCATTTACGGAAATTTGAACACACACACATAAATGCACACTCATTTTGTTCTACATAAAAATGTTTAAAGTTGAACTATGTCCTTAAAAACAAAATACACAGCATTACAAAGGCATCTGCAGTTTTTTCCCCACAAATGCTTGTTGATCCTGCCAGCTGAGATGTACCTAATGCAACTTCCTGAAATGGTGTAGTAACAATGCTGCCTGCTCCTCAATTTAGAGAGGAGTTGCCACTCTTATTTTTGCTGTGCCTGCTTACACTAGGTCAATGCACATATTCACCAGCACACCATGAATTGTCAGGTGTCGTCTAAAACTTTTATTGCAGAAAGACTGCATCACAAATGACCAAGTGCAACGTTTCGGAACCACGTAGGACCCCTTCGTCAGGCATGTAAACACACTAGATTTTGCAGGGGACTTTGCTATCAGCATTGTCATTGCTGATCACAAACCCGTAGCTTTAAACTCAGCACCTACCTGCCCACTGTTTTTTGGATTGACTTAATTCTCTTTGTTGCAGAAACCAAAACGCTGCAGTGTCTGGAAGGAGGAGCATGAGAAACAAATGAAGGAGGACTTGGCTCAGTCAGGAAGGTAAGATATGTTTTTCTTTTAGATTGTGAGCTGTGTGCATCATATAGTTACTAGATTTTGTACTAGTATACACTGCCATACGGGATCCTTTAATTGTACTTTAATGTGTGAAAAAGGCTTCCCAAAGTACTATGGGTTAGGTAAGGGACAGCATAAAAGAAGCACCATCAATCTCTGTCAACAGCAAGCATTTCCCAACATTGTGGAACACAATGATTGGTAAGCTGCACTATAATACATTTTTGGTTTTGGGTTTAATACCGCTTTAAATAAATTAATTAAAAATGTAAATATAGTACGAAGACAAATAGTTATAGAAAAATGAATTAGAAAAAAAAGATTTCTTATTTTATTTTATATAGTGCTGATATTTTCTACAGCATTTCACGGGGAGTCATACACACTAGTCGGTAGTAATTTATGGTCTAGTATTCCTAAAGAAAGCCATGCCACAGCATGCATAAACATACACACACAAACACATGGATGGACATAAAAACAGATGTATGCCTGGTGGGAACTGAAAGCTGGGCTTCAGCATGGCAAGACAAGAAAAGCTCACCACTGAGCCAATATGTCACATTCATCCCACTATAGATTTCAGCTGTGTAACAACATGGAAAGTTTTCTATGGAGTCCTCCAGCGCCCAAACGCTAAATTCAGTGTGTTCGTAGTGCTACGATTAGACTTTTTTTTCTTTTTCAGACATGGAAGAAATTCTTGAAAGAATCATGCTTACATACTGATTTACGGCAAAGGCTTACTGCTAATCCTAGCACTTGGCAAGCATGGCCCTATTAATATTACCCTGAGTGCATATAGCAAGCACAAGAGATAAATTTGAGCCTACGGAGTGAAAAATGTTTTTAGCATCTGCCAAACTTAATTAAAGTTTTCAGTAAATTTCTCTCCCTTCCTAAACTTCTCCAGCTAGTTAGGGGCTGCCACATGAATAATAAACCATGTACAGCTGAAGCAATCATTTGAAATTATGGTCACTCCTAATCCAAAATCAAAAGGGCAACTGCGCTTTAGAAAAACTTGAGGAAATATAATGAGAAATGTTTTCCCATTACTGCCCTTAGTTTCTTTGCCATCTATGCAATGACTGCTGTAGCAAGAGACTAGCCTTTTCAAGGCTACATTTTTCACCTTGGAATCTCTTCCTAAATTTTTAAACTGACATCACCTCCCACAACCACTGCACCACCTTATGTGTGCAAAGGAAGGTGATATCAGCACTCTATCCAACAGATATAGTCTGGTGTTCTACACAAAATGAATTATGTAGCAGAACCTCAAAGGGCTTCCACAGATGAAGGTGGATGGTATAATAGCTTTATTGCAATAATGTATCAGTGCTGATACTAAGCATTTTCATGAGTAATTGTACTCGTGCAAATGCTCTCATACTAACAATGATACCTTAAAGTCTGCAGGCTAAAACTGCTGCCTTTATGGAGAGAGACACAGAAGGATGTCAAGTGAGGGTGGCTTTCAGATGTCTACAACCACACATGTCAATCAGGGTGTGGCAGTGTGGGACGTGACACCCAGACTGCAGAAGGTCTGGCAAGTGCTCTACCGCTGCACCTCCAAGACAGAGGCAGGTGACCTGAGAGTTATGTGTAAAAAATAAATGTATCCAAGGCCAGTGACTGATTTTATGATTGCTGGCCTACCACTACACCACCAAGGCAGAGGCATAATAAATAAGTGTAGTGAAATAAATAAGTTAAAAACGTAAAAATAATTACATTTAATATTTAATTTGTAAATACATTCATACAATGCTGGGCTACCACTAAATCACCAGCACAATGTCTTGAGTTACACTTCTTCATAATTATAAATGGTAATAATTTTTCATTAGCCTAAAAAACCTGTCACGTGACACTAAAAATAGGCATTGGTAATTGGTATTGGCGAGTAATTGAGAAACAGTATCGGTACACGTACTCTGTCTTTAAAAAACTGGTATCTGTGTATCCCTACTGCCTTTCTCAAAGCATTCTCATACATT